GGATGGATTTGGTGAAATGCTTGAGTTTTCTTGGGATTTTGTTGTTGAATGTGCTTGAATGCTTGAGTTTTGTTGGAATTTGTTATGTGGGAAATAGATTTAGTGAGAAGGGTAAATTTATAATTTTATTGTTTAAACCAATTTAGATGTAAAAATGAGTGTCGGTTCATGGGTGTATGTATCGCTGTCCTAACTTAAATATAGATACAACCGAACTCTCATATTTATTATTGTCGAACAACCTGACTTCAGGATAATATTTGTGAGTCTCCAAAATCTCGTTCCCAGAGTGGATAAGGCCCGAAGTACCACTTTCATCGTCCAGTATACCACGTGACAGGGCACAAACCGCTTCAGAGAGGCACTTATTTATTGTATCCAACGCCATTGAGAATTCCCCAATTCTCTTCTGAATTTCAGTTGATTGAAGACAGAAATATGGGTAAGTTTCTAAAAAGAAGGGAAAGATCAATAATTTAAATGAAAAACGTACAGAGCCATTTTAGCAATACCAGTAAAACAGTCAAACATGCGAATTAACAAAGAAAGTTTTAGATCTTTTAGTTAATAAAGGAAGAGGAGAGAAAAAATCACTTTGTCATACAGCCCAGCTTCCTGGCACTGGTAAGAAGCTTCAAGCAGAAATTGTTGTCTTGTTTTGTGATTAGGCAAAAATTGTCCCAATTCACCTTCCTCTCCATGACCTCTTGAACCAAGTAGAAGTTAATCCCACCCTTCCGTAACAAAAGCTCAGTAAGAAGCTTTTGTTCCAATCTTGGTATGAATAATGAAGCAATTAAAGCCGCCCAAGAAGCAGTTCAAAAGTCAGAGGAGTTTGATATAAGGTACTTATAGTTATTTTTGCCTATAGTATTTCCATTTTAATTATATATGGTACTTGAATCTTGTGCTTTTATGCCTCGGTGTACTGCATGACATTCTGTGAAAAAGATTGGCGTAGCTAAGTTTAGTTTAAGAAAGGGAACCTTTTGGTTTTGTAAATGTGAAGAATGGATATTGATGGGTTCATTTGGAAGATGTCATGGTTTTATTTCATAGACAATCATGGACATTCGTTTAGACCATTCAATCCCAGTAAAAGCACTCTTTACTTTTTCATCTTCCCTAGTTCATGGCGCTGTCCTGTGTCTTTGCTGCCGTTTCTCCCCTCATCAAATGGTTTTTGGGTGGGTATTGAAGGAAAAGAGATGAAGTTAGCCGCCTGGTCATGGAAATTTTACCCTTTTTGAATCTGAAACCAGGCAAATGCATGCAGTTAATGTGTTCCTTGCAATTTTTCCTATAATGATCTTTCAAAGTCTTCAATTCATATCGATACATTAAAATAATTACTTCTCTTTTGACGCTAACGAGACTTTACTTATCTTCCCTTGTTTTTTTAATGTTTAAAGTTCCTTATGTTGGTGTTTGCTAAGCAATTCTGTGACCGTGCAGGCGGAGCCCTATATCAATTGCTTCAGCAGTTATTTATATTATAACGCAGCTTTCAGATAATAAGAAGCCTCTTCGAGGTTTGTTATTTATATTATATAATATGTCAACTTAAAATGCATATGAACTAGCTGGACATGTTTGCATTATAAGAACTAGAAATGCAATTCATGCATTTGAAGGAAAGAAGATTTGGTTGGATGCAGATATTTCAATAGCCACTGGAGTTGCGGAAGGGACAATCCAAAATTCATACAAGGATCTTTATCCCCACATATCAAAGATAATACCAAACTGGTATGCCAAGGAAGAGGATCTCAAAAACCTGTGCAGTCCTTGAAGTCAAGTAACAGTAATACAATTATCTCAACATGAGGCCATCATAAAATTGGTATCGAGTTTCCTCTCTTGAATGGAAACTCAGGAGAGCAGACGAACATTGATCAAGTGTTTTTAATTTTATCTGTTTTTCATTCTTCATTTTTCCTACATCACTATCCCAAGCAGGGAATCTTGGGAGAAAGAAAGAAAGGAAGAAAAAGCACAAGGTGCATTAAGTATCCAATTCTATTTTATTTCTTGTATAAACTTTGTGCCATCAATTTTTTGGGCCGTCAGTGTAGACAATGCTAATTATGTTTTCACGTCAGTCTTTTAGTTTTTTTTTTTTGGTTTTTCGCCCGGTATCCGGGGCTTCACCCCGACTAATTCGGACCCGACCCGCGTTGCATGCGCATCTGAAAATGGTGAGTGAGTCTCTCAGCGAAGGCTGCTACGTGCACAAAGTCTCGAACTCGAAACCTTGCTTAAGCTGGAATAAGCCATTTACTACTTGATCTAATCCCTCGTTGATCAGTCTGTTAGTTCTTGGTAGCGTTATGTCTGGCCTGGATTTCCTTGTTGAGTTTGGTATTATGAGCAGCAAAGATGATGGTTATCCATTCTGAATCTAGCATATGGTTGATTTGAAGGAAGGGGAAGAGACGGAAGGGAAGACGAATTTTTTTCATCAATTGGATTGCAACATTGCAACATTAGCCAATGTTATAATTTAATAGTTCAAAATTATTCATTTTCTTCCTAGTTTTAGCCTTCGTTGGGATAAAATTTAGCAAAGGAGGGAAGGCGAGAGGAGGTGAAGGGAAGAGTGGGGAGGAGAACTGAAATGAAAGAAAGGATTAATGTTAATTTTATA